TGGACTGTTCAAAAGAAGACCAACAATTCCGGATTATCCAACGTCGGAGCCCTATTTCGGCCCACTAGCAGACACATCACGACGTGAAGACATCGAGTCTCAACCTCTTAGAACAGTGGTCACGGTTTACCACAGTGGACGATCTGACGTTCCTCTTGAGAAAGCTGCCGTGATTACTGAAGAAGTACCACCAGTGAAGGATGTCTATTACGAATATCCTACTACGGCAGTATATGAGGGACCACTTGACAGCACGCCGCGAACCGATGACATCTACGGTGAACCGCTCACGCAATACGTCAGTGTGTACCACAGTGGACGTTCCGATGAACCAGTACCGAAACCCGAAGAAGAACACATCGACATTGCAGATGCAGCGAAAGCATTCGGAGAGAAGGTGACGGGACTGTTCAGAAGAGGCCCTGCGCATCTTGACTATCCTGTCTCAGAGAGATATGAAGGACCTCTTGACAGCACTCCGCGAACCGATGACATCTATGGTGAACCGCTGACACACCACGTCACTGTGTATCACAGTGGACGATCTGACGAGCCAGTACCGAAACCCGAAGAAGAACACGTTGACATCGCTGATGCAGCGAAAGCATTCGGTGAAAAGATCACTGGACTGTTCAAAAGAAGACCAACAATTCCGGATTATCCAACGTATATATACCACCACCTCATTTCTTGTGTAACCACTGTCTTACGTTTTTGAATTCATTTTTTTAACGAAAACAGTTGTAAAGAACCTCCCAAAACTCACCTAAGGCGTCATAACACACGCATGAATTATAAGGGAAGTAATCTCGTATCCTCCATAACAAATGTACACAGTCGGAGGGCGATTCAGCTGTGCAATCTGAATACGGTAGCACTAAATCCGTTAGCGTTCGTTCTGCTATCACCGCTGCTGATTTTTACAAAAGCAAATTAATATCTATATGAACATAAGGATGTAAGCAGAGTATAAACCTCCATATCTGGCACTAAATGAGTCACCCCCTTAAGAAAAACAAGATGATTTAGTAGCCCCGGACGTGTTGCGACAATATGGTACAGTTCGGCCACTTTAGTCCTCCATAGGGAACCAGGGCGATCAAAATCATCCTCTACTCAATTGATACTTCATCAGACATCAAAATTATTGGTGAGACACAAGTAGACTGATTTCTACAGGGTGGGCCAAAATTATGATTACAGCGCGCGCTGACGTTCATTGCAAATTTTTTCTATGTTCATAACAATTCATTGAATTTCTTCCATTTCACAAAGTAGCTTACGTTATTACCCTTCTAATGATACTGAACTTTGGGTAGATTTTTAACATAATATAAGCGTAACTAGTCCGTGAATTAAACGTAGCTTTGCATTTACAAACACTTTTGGCACGGTGCATCTGCAGACTAACTAGCGAAACAAGGCAGGTATTGCATTCAACCATAAGACGCTTTCGAGAGTTGGGAACATTGCAGATAGGAGTGGTGAGCCTAGGA